TTTAGCGTTGCAGCTTTGAGACTAAAAATAAAACGTGTATCTGATTTTGATTTAGATCTGTCCCTTGAACCAGTGTGAAACTATCACCAAGAATACATCAATATAGGAGAAATAACTGTTCACATGCAATTTAAACATCAAAGTGTTTGTATGAAGTAATGAAACATGAGTAATTTGTTTTATCATCCTCTTTGAAAACATGGAACGTCCCTTTTCAAAGCAAATAATCTTTATTTTAAAGCCAGAAGGATTAATAGCACTCACTCTATGGAAGAGACTGCTGTTAAGTAAAATATAATTAATACTGCTTCAGTCAGTACAATTGGTGTTTCTTCCTCTTATCAGTACCATCAGTGCACTATATCAGTACCTTCTGTTCCCTGTTAAACAATGAGCAGGCAGATGTGATTGCTCTCTTTAGGAATATTTGTATGCATTACAGCATACAGCTTTCCAATTTCTGGGAAAAAAGTTAACTGTACTTAATTGCCCCTATGTCAGGTGCTTCTAACATCCTTTTTTGCATTTTATCTGTGCAGCTAAATCCACCTCTTTTAATTGAATAGAGTGTAGTCATTAATGATACAAATATGGCATTTGTTCCACCTAGAGGAGGTTGCTGCGTGTTTCATTAAATTGCCAGACCAATTCTGTGGGCCAGCTGAAATCTCTTTAATCACTGTTTTCTCACATTCTTCAACATATTCTTATGTTGCTGTCTTCTTCACTGAATTTCTCCTAACAAACTTGGCTTTTTTTTCTTTTTCTGTTCTTATTTGCGCATCACTGCCATTCTTTTCATTGGTTTTATGAAAAAGGCACACATTTATATCCCTGAGAATATTAGCATGTGAGTTAACATATTCAAATCACTTCACAAATAGTTCAAAAGACTGTGAGAATTTTTAAATATAAAAGGAATTGCTCTGGTTAAGACTAAAGGTCAGTCTAACTGAGCTATAGACTACAATGGCCAAAATAAAATGCTTAGGGAAGAGCATTGAACAGGGCTGACACACATTTTGTTTCCCACTCATTCAGTCTGATTCCAGCCATTCAAAGTTCACAGATTTCAAGACCTAGATGTAGTTTCTACAAATGTGGAACCCTTCCATGGTAATTCTCATTCATGAACTTGTTCTGTTTTGTGCTTAAACCCATATCAACTTTTCTATCTTTATGTGATTTCTGATTTTATGCGAATTGGTCATTTCTTCTTTCAGGCATCTGTCTTTCTGGCTGAAGATAACCAGTTTTTTGAGTAATTGCATTTAATCATTCCTCACATGGAAACAGCATTCCAAGGCTTTGATCATTCTTCTTGTACTCTGTCCTTTCCCTATTTCTGCTCTGAAATAGAGGTCCACAGCTGCACTCAGTAGTCAAGATGCAAGCACGCTGTGGATTTATACTTGGGGATAATTATGTTGTCTGCCTTTTTTTTCCTTTCCTGATTATGTCCAGCATTGATTGTGCTTTTCTTATTGATATTGAGCACTGAGCTAGCTTGATCTTGGAAATAAGTATCTTTAGAATCATAGAACCATTCAGGTTGGAAAAGACCATTGGGATCACCAAGTCCAACCACCATCCCTACTCTACTAAGTTGTCCCCCAAACCATATCCACCAACACCACATCCAAATGACCCTTAAACACATCCAGGGATGGTGACTCAAAAACCTCCCTGGGCAGCCTATTCCAGAGTCTAACCACTCATTTTGTGAAAATAAAATTTCCTAATGTCCAGTCTAAACCTCCCCTGTTGCAGCTTGAAGCCATTCCCTCTTGTTCTGTTGCTAATTACATGTGAGAAGAGACCAGCATCAACCTCTTTACAGTGACCTTTCAGGTAGTTGTAGAGACTGATGAGGTCTCAGCCTCCGAGCTCCTTCAAGCGTTCCTCGTAAGATTTATTCTCTGGTCCTTCACCAGCTTCGTTGCCCTCCTCTTTACTCACTCCAGCACCTCAATATCTCTCTTGAATTGAGGTGCCCAAAACTGGACACAATACTCCAGGTGTGGCCTCACCAGTGCTGAGTACAGGGGGACAATGACCTCTCTACTTCTGCTGGTCACCCTATTTCTAATACAAGCCAGGATGCCATTGGCTTTCTTGGCCACCTGGGCACACTGCTGGCTCATATTCAGCTGCTTGTCAATTGGAACCCCCAGGTCCTTTTCTGCCAGACACTTTCCAGCCACACTTCCCCAAGCCTGTAGCATTGCATGAGGTTGTTGTGGCCCAAGTGCAGGACCCAGACCCTGTGGCTTTTGGTCATGTTGTGACCATGATTGTCTGTCTAGCTAAGAGAAAGCAACCACTGTTTGCTGTTCTTTGCATGCCCTTGTGCACACCCACACTAAATCACTTGCACCAACCCACTCCAGCCAGCTCTCCCTCGTCTCTGCGATGGCTGGTGCTGCTGGTGCCGCTGCCGCTCTCTGCTCCACGCTGCCACGTGGTTTATTCCACGGTCTACTTCCTGAGCAGTAGTGGTTAGCTTAGAGCCAATCATGTGTGAAGTTAGGTTTACATTTCAGGACTCCAAAAAGCCTTTCAGAAATCCAAGTAGCTTTTATCACGCTTAATCCACATGATTGTCAATGAAACCAGAAAGTCAAGGACTGAGTATGCATATAACCCAAAGGCTGGTATTTTGCTTTCAAGATTACATTTAATAATGTAACTAATAAGGACTAGCTGAGGCCTAGGTGATTATTTTTTTCCCCAAAAAGTACATTAAATAAAGGGGATACAGATGATGTCTGGGGGGAACAGATGATGAACATCTTCCTTAACTTCATTGATAGACACTGTTGATGTGAGGTCTTGGCATTGGAATACAGAGAAAGAACTGAATAATAGGATGGCTTAAGGCATGGGTTTATGCTTAGGATCTCTGTTTGTTATGTGTTGAGAATAGATCACAGGTCTTTTTTATTAAAACAGAGGGGGGAAAAGCAAAAGTGTTTGTAGGTGGAAAAATTTGCTCTACATTGAATGTACTTTATAGCATACTGAGGCTCCACTATATTAAATGTGTCCTATGTCCCAGGCAACTTTATTTCAACTCTGTGTGGCATCTCAAATGTATATTTTTATGCAGTTTATAAGTAAATTACTTTAGCAAAATGTGTGAGGTAATATATAGCATAAGCTTAAAATATTTATGGTTCAATCTGTTGCTCAATGAAGCAGAGAGACTGGGGTTGCTCTTACAGCTTTTGGGGTTATTTCTTGTGAGGAAGGATTTTATTTCTGCAGGGGTAGGAGAACTATTCAAAGTAAAAAATTTTTTGGATGTGTATCCATCAGATCTGTGTGATACTAGGATGACAGCTGAACATTAAGATTCAGTATTTCATTTCACATGTAGTTCAGTTTGGATTGCTCAGGATCTGTTGTCTTTCATATATTTCCCAGCCTTAGAAACATGTGCAGACCAGTACGATGGGCTGCTTCAGGAATACGCAATAAACATTGCATCTCATCATAAATTAATGGAGTGGAAAATCAATGCTTTGATGAACATAAGGTCATTGCAAATGAAGCATGAAGTATGAATGATTACTGCTTTACTGTGGTAAAAGTGAAATGGTTGATTCTTATACAAGGGAAATATTAGAGATTAATAGCTACCTCTGGGTAATTTTACTTTGAAGTGGAGATGAATAGAAGCATTTTTTAAAGAATTTTTTAGCTATAAATACATTTCTACATTAAAATATGTGAAAACACTTTAAACATAATATGGAGGCATCCTGCTTGATTGCATCCTAAAAATATGAAGAAGAATACATTTTATACATTCATTATTAATATGTCACTGCAGGTTCTGTAATTATTTTCTGGTGAAGAACCAGGTATATTACAGGAAAAGTTATTAATTTTATTACTGTATTTATATGTAATATAAATATACAATTTGACTAGATAATAAATAATATAATATATACTTAATGTAACATATACAAATATAGTAATATATATTTATAATGTACAATTATAAATGTATCATTTATATTATTTTCTCCTTATAAAATCTTCTTAGGTTATTATTTTAAGTTAAAAAAAAAATCCTGTCTGCAAATTAGGTAACACATTAAAATACAAGATTTCTTATCAAGATAATACAATAAATTTTACTTTTAGTCCAAACATGACTTGTGAAATCTACTTATTTCCTTTCTCAAGCAGCAGGTGAGAAAGAAGAAAGTAAAAGTAGAAGAAATAACCTTTATTAATTCTGACTTTTGAGTTTTGCAAAACCGATTTGTCTTACTTTATTCACTGGAAGTCATCACAAGTATGTACACTTACAGGCTTTTTCCAGCATTTGCCATGTGCAGTTGTCTACAGCACAATTAAGGACTTTTTTGTATTGAGTGTAAATATAACAACATTTATATTGTTATTTAAGCACAAAACCTGAAACATGATACTGATTTTCTTCAGTTCTTTCCATCTTGCTATAGACTAGAATTTTTGTGTCACTAATGTGGAGGTGAAATCTTAGCCTAGCCCTTACTCTCCCTAGAGTGGTAATTCATGTCTCAGCAGCAAATACTGTATATATAAACAAAAAATATGAACGTTGATTGTTCTATATTTAGCTAGGATGTTTTTCTAATATGAGTTTTACTACAAAGCTATAAACATTATGAGTATAGATTTGTATTTTTGTTAAATGTACTTTACTCCCTGAAGTGCAATACAAGAATATTTCATTCTGATGGCTACATAAACTCCAAAATTGTAAATAAGTATTGTTCTGCTCAATAAACTGGTAACCATTCGTGGAGATTCAAATTAAGGAAATTGTGCTTTGTGTTTTATTTTGTCCTGCTTTATCCTTAACAGCTTGTTTACTGTAGGCCTGTTTATTTTACAGACACATACGGACCTACAAGCCTGTTTCCATAGATGTAATAGATTCTTAATGTTAGAGATGGCTGAAAGGATTGATTAATTTTTCTGTTTTGTGTTATGTTCTTTAGAGTACTCGAGTAGCTTTAGACCATCTGGAGTCTGTTCCTGAGAAACTGAGCCTATTAGAAGATTTGAAAGATATTGGGGTGAGAAAGATTTTGTTTTACTCTTTCAGTGCTTCTGAAATCTTTTGGTTAATTGAGGTACTCTCCATCCATATAGAGAAATAGGTTAATTAGATATTTAAGATGAAATCAGTATATATTATATAGTCAAAATCATACAAACATTTATTTTCATGTTTATACAGATTTTTTGAGGTTATTAATTTAGTCCTAATTAGTAAGACTGCTGTGGTGCTCTGTAATGTAACCAAACATTGATAGGTGGGCATAAGATTATCATAGAATCATTTTGGATGGACTCTTAAAAATAGGTCAAGTCCTAATTACTGGTTTGGAATATTTATATCGATTGCTGAATTATTATATTATGTTTTTAAAAAAATATTTTGTTTTAAATTAAATAGATTATGCCACTTATTTCAATGATTAAAGTAACAAGTGAAAATAGGTGAGATTTACAGTTTTGTGTTTTGTTTTCGTTTGACCCAATGGCAATAATTGTCATTTGTTTTCTCTGTATCACAGGCAAATCAAGGTGTGTGTTTCGGACACAGTAGGACATATTGACAGTAATGGTAGAGTACTGTCAAGAGTGATAAACCTTGAATTAGATCTTCAGTGGCTAGGTGGCTAAGACACTGGATTATTACTTTCTGCACATGAACTTGCTGGTTTACTAAAAAAGAATTTGGATCCTCATTACACAATATAATTTTTAAACCAGTATTAAATCACAGATGAACAATGATTTGCATTTTATTTCCTATATAGAATTTCTCATCATGAGGCAGTCATAAACATTTCAAAACACACTAGTTTGGAACATTGTTTATTCTAAGTGTTCTGGCACGAGGTCATGTGTTACTAATTGTATTCTCTTGTTGTTACCATCAACAAAGTTAGAACAGAAATACCAATTTAAATGTTTTGGTTTCTTTAAGAAAAATATTGTTGAAATGTATAGTTTTTATGGCACATTGCAGGTAGACCCAACAGAGCTTTTTACTCTGACAGAGGTTGACATTTGCTTTCTGTTTCTGGTGGAAAACAATGATGGTTTCCTTTCTTCTAAAGGAAGATTTCTACACTCAGCTAGGAAAAGTAGAAGCTTAAATGTGGGTTTTCTACAATCTCCTTCATGTTTGCACTCTTGTTTAACGTTACTACTTACGTTACTACTTACTATGTTTTCTTGTTTGCTGTAGTTATCACTTAGCCAGCATTTGTGCTATGGGAAAAATGCTTTGGTTTAATTTGAGCGCTGTACTTCTCCTTGATACTTAACTTTTTAAAGACTTTTCTGAAGCTAAGTCCCTACCAACAACTGTGTATCGTTTAATAAATAACTTATCATTTGTGCATTTGCTATTCAGGAGAGCTAGACTTCACACTTTAGCTGTGAGGATGATGTCAGTTTGGAGTTTCATTAATTTCTCTATTTGAAAATAATACGTGGGATTTTTTGTACAATAACATATTTTACTCCCAAGTGGTATGCATGAAGACATTCATTGCTTTCCTCTGTTAGCAAGCTCTTTATTCCCTTAGTGTTTTCATAGGAAAGCCAAAGGAAAGGGAAAGTAAATCTTTGATAGTGCCTCACAACCTGCCTGATAGCTGTATTAATTCAAGTGACTCATTAGCTAGTTCAATGAGAAGTGTTTTGTTTTCTTATTTGAAAATACTGTTTAGTCCATATTCTTGGAACACTTTTTTTCTTCAAGTGCTTGTTTCTACTGCATTGTAATGAATTTTTTACCTTTACAGAATTCCTCTTTTAGAAGGTATGATATTACTGAGTTTTGGAAGCAGTTACAAGAAATCTTTCACCAGTTAAAGAAGAGGCTGTTCACATTTTAGCCTATTTTCATTTAACATTACTTTTCTGTACAGAACATTGTGCTTTCATATGGCCCCTGTATTTCAACTTCTGAAATTAATTAATTAATTAATTGTATTGAAAATCCTTGGTGATACCCATGTTTACAATAGCCAGCTAACATTTATTGACTGCTTTTTGCATTATGAAATAAATTAGATCTTTCAATGCATTTCTAGGATTCCCATTGTCGAAGGGAGATGATTCAGGAAAGGTATATGAAATATAAAGAAATAGTGTGTTCTCTACAGCAACAGCTGGAAGATTCAAAACAGAGAGTCCAACAATTCAAGGTATGTTTGTGTACTCCACTTTTGTTTTCTGGTTAGTTTCAATCTGCAAGGTAAGCTTATTTGATGTGTATTAACTCCTAGTATAAACACAAACTAAAATAACCCACAAATATTTCTGTTTAATGTAGTTGCCATGGCTGATGTAAAATTTGATGACAGAAGTGTTGGCTACATTGTGAAGTGCCATGTGTACTTTCCAAAAATCTTTCAAGTTTCACAGAAAAGTGTCTTACTCTGTCTTATTACCCTCAAGTGTTTACCTGCTCTGTCGATGTTGTCTGCAGCAATATTTTTCATTAGTTTGTTCAATTTGCCCTTGTCCTTTAATGTAAAAGATAAATATAGAAACCTGTTTCCTCCATTAGAAGGATGATTAATTTGTAGATCACGTATAGTGATTTTTCAGGTATTGATCTTTGTATTCTTTACAAATGATACTGTATGATGTCTATTTCATGCATAAATGAAATCCAGGCAAACTGAGGGGAAGTGATTTGCTAAAGGTCACGCAGCAGAATGATAGCAGGGCTAAGCATAATTGCCTAACTCCCTGGAATATAAATCCAGTGCTCTTGTTTAGAAACATTGCCTGTAATGAGCTCACTTTTCCAATTGTTAACATACTTTCTTTCTCTTCACATTAGCTTGTTCATTGTCATATCATTGTGGTAGCAGCTTGCTTCAACAGAACTACAGTTTCTTATGGATGTGATTGAAATAGGTTATCAGAAGAATCATGCCAGCATTTTTGCTGCTTATCACAATGAAACAAAGATTCATTAGCAATTAATGCTATTAGTGTCTCTGAGAAGTTGAGCTCAAAATATAGGTTCACACATTATGTATCTGAAAACTTTAAGTTGTTTGTTTTCCCCACCTCCTCCATAGCAATCTTCTGTAAAATGAGGACATATTTACCAGTAGGTCTTTTAAAAAGTGGAAAAGGTAAAGTAAATATAGCATCTTAGCTTAATAAGTTGCTGTTGTAACAAGAAGGTATTAAGCTACTTGAAAAAGCCATCTTCCTCTTCTGTAAGAAAGAACTGAAAAGAAGAAAAAGGGCAGATTCACTTTCATTCTGTTGCTAATGATAATCTTCAGTTTCCTGAATTTCTCTTACCTTCACATAATAGTTACTAATTCAGTAGGCACTGAAATTTGTAAATCATTGAAAGGCTAAGTGAAATGCAATCAGCTGACAGTAGAATCTCACATTGCAGTAGGCTGAGTTTACTGAGCTTGCATGATTTGAATTCTGTATTCAGAATCCATCTAATTTCAAAACAATATTTCCTCTTTCATTAGACATCAGGGAGCATTTAATGGCTTCCATTTAGTCAGGTCTAATTGGGTTTTCGCATGACATAGAGTATTCTGCTGTTATGACTGCTAGAACTGAATGTGCAAAACCAAGTAGCAGACAGTTGCTAATCTGATTTCAGTGATCAGGCTAGCTTAGTCTAAAAAAACCCCTTTTTAATGCTTACCTTTCTGCCCTCCCTTGGAACTGATTCAAATGCATTGCTGTTTAAATTTTATTATTTTACTATTTGTCAATTGGGAGTCTCTAAAATGGAGAATTTGTGGGGAATTTTTGAGGTCATCAAAGCCTATTCTGATAGTTTCGACTCATGCTTTGTACCCAATGTAGTGCTTCTGATATACAAGATAGATATTTAGTAGGTGATAAGAAAATGCATGTTTTAAATAAGGGACTTGTACAATTTTTACATTGACCATTTAAGATAAAATCATGGAACTATTCTTTCTCTTCTGCTATGATCTTTTTCCTAGCTTTTCTTGTAAAACACATCTTTCAGTTTGCTTCCCAACATTAATCTCTGATTATCTCTGATTATCTAATCCTATCTTCTAGCCTCTTTTCATTTTAAGGAGCAAAAATCAAACTAAAGTTGAATGTTCCCTTAAAAGCAATTAAAAGCAATTATTTTTCTACCTTTCTTATTGCTTCATTTGTCCCCTCTTCATATTTCCACTCCTCTGTATCCTTACCATTTGGCTGGAGAACACTTGTTACTTAGAAGTCCAGGAAAATGATAATTGCTATTTGTAGATGTTAAAATGTAAGATACTAGCTAAAAAAGGGCTGAGTACTAGTAGATAACGAAGAAATTGGGAAAAAAAGGTAAATATAAAGTATAAAAAAATAAAGGGAATACCAACCAAATTAAAATCACGAGAGAAAGCTAGAGGAAAACTAAAGATAAATGTTATTATTATTAGTCAAACACAGCATACAGATGTAGTTCTTAATGAAGGACATATGAGAAGGCACATTCTGTAAATTAAAATTTCTGTAAAGAGAAAGCCATTTTGTATTGCAGATGCTAGGAGCAGCACAATGCTTTTTTAAAAGCTCTGCTCTATCACTGCATTTCTGGAAGCAGAATTAAAATATATTTTTTTTTAATCTTTAAAAATTGTTATTGTGCTATGTACACGTCAGCTATTAAGTCTCTCATCAGCATTTAAGGGGATTAATATGTATAATTCCCATTAGTCTTAATAGGAGTAAATCCCTCTTCAGTGATGGGACAAAATTAATGTTGAATTTTATTTTGTTTTCTGTTTAGTTTTCAAAACTTTGTATCAGCATGAATGATAAATTTCAAGCTGTTTTAACAAAATTCCCTGAGGCTATTTATGATAAGAATTTAGTAGCAAAATTGAGTGTTTTATGAACTGCTGCATTTGTGAATTATTATCTCTTCTCATTTCAAGAAACGGAGTAATTTGAATACCAAGACAAGCTTTTAATCTTATTTTGGAAGGTATTGCAACTGGGGACTTGCTGCTGTGCTAATAAATATTTATGGATATTTTTGTTTAAATGGCCTTTGAAAAATGGTCTTCTTTTTTCAGGTGATAGACCAAATGACTTTGCTCACCAAAAAGCTTTACTGTATGAGTCTAGCCATAAATTGTGCTTCAGACTTTATTTAATGGTTTAACAAAAAAAAAATAAATGGAAAAGCAACTTCAGGTATTTTGAGATGAGAAATCAATGAAGTCTGAGTTTCCTCAGTGGTAGTGAAAACTGACTTAATTTTTATTACTACTATGTGGAACTTCAGTGAATTAATGTGGACCATTCATTGATGAGGAATTCATACTTCACTGATGTCTGTCCTGCTCCTGCTCTTTGTTCTGAAGTGTGGATGTGATGTAAACAGAAAAAAGAGCATTTTTACAGCTTATTAAAGTGACAAAAACTTGCTATGCTCCCTGTGCATTTCTCAACTCAAAGAAGTTTTTTACAGAGATTTTGTAGTGATTAAATGAGCATGAAATTCATGACCAAATGAATCTGAACCTAATGGCAATACTGAGAATTCTGAAAATTCAAATTAGTATTTTCCAGCATGTGTGAAATCACAACATGTATCTTTATGTCTGCTACTGAATGTTTTTTGTTTAAGTTTACAGCTTCTTGATATTAACAAATAAAAATATTTGCATTTGACTGCTGTAGGATGTGAAAATTGATGCTGACATCTCTGATACAGAAGTTGCTGCTCCCTCCTCTAGCTGGCAAACTCAAAACAGCTTTTTGTCCAGTTCACTGCTCTCAGATTCAGGTTGTAAGTATTTCACAAAAAACCACAACCCTACAAGTAATGTATTTTCCTGTTTTAAAGCTGTAATACTTGAATGAGTGAGACAACATACTTTTTGCCAAAAAATGCTAGAACCATCTTAAGAGTCCTCCTGTGTTTGTGTTTTAGCTTTAGATTTTGGATGCATGCCTTTGTCTAGGAAGTACTTAATTACATCCCACTGATAGTTATTGTTGGTTTGTTTTTTTTATCTGGGACATAAAATACATTCTGTTTGTTATTTAAACCTATGCCAAAAAAAAAGGGCTGCACTTGAATTCTGAATCTCTGCATGAAGAATCATACCTATGTAAGCTGTCTAATTTTTCAGGGATCAGAGAGACATCCTCGGCCAAGTTTTTTTTTCCCAGATCTTTAATTTGTACCAGTTAGATCCATGCTTGGGTAGCAGTTTAACTGCGAGAGTTGAATTAAATAATTCTTCTTTACTTCAGTAGCTGTTTTTAACTATTCCTTCTATTCCCTAGTCCGTATAAAACTTGTGGTCATGAAAGATCACAGGATCTCTGATACAGTTAGGAACTGCTCAGTAAAAGACAGGACATACTAGATTTTTTACTGGTACAGGCACACCTTTGCATGTGTGTCAAAGCTAACTTTTTAAAAAAGTTTTTAAAGTTTTTTTTGAGTGTATCAGCACATGGATATCTGAATACTTTTCTTCAGAAGGCTATCACCTTTAATTTCTTTTCAATATTGCCAGTTTATGTACCAGGAACCTATGCAGTAAGTTGCATTCTATGTAATGGAAAGTCCTATTTCAGGCTTCATTGTACTTCCAAACCTCTGCATCTTAGAATGAGTGCTGCAGGACATTACTGCTCACCAGTAAGTCCTGACTTGATCTGATGAAGTTAAAGATAATTGGTTTCTCTCTCTTTCAGAATCTGTGTGTTATGATTAATATCTCTTTGCAGAGCATACTGAACAACAATGGTGGGAATAAAGCATAAGAGCAAATGCCTCCATCTCATCTGTACTTCAGGAACAGTTTTCCCTGACTCAGAGTTGTTTTTCCATTTTCCCAAACCTCTTCCCTGTAAAAATCTTGCAAGTCAGAGTACAGCTCAGCCTGGTTGGGGTATAGAAAAGACATAACCAACTTGAACAACTTTGTGATTCCACTTCAAAAACTCAATGACATTTAAAGATGCAGCAAAAATGTTCCGAAAATACCACAATATCTTTATATTGGTTAACCTGAATGGAACTTGCCACGACTTTGTTCCTTTAGTACTTTTTAATCAGTTATAGGCAGTTGTCAAGGAGGATCCATGTGATCTGAGTACCAATCTGATTAGCTGGTTCTGGATATTTATTCCCTGATTCAACTTGTTTTTACCAGCACTAAGATTTCTGCAGATAAAAAAAAAAAAATAATGAAAGAAATACAGTAGTAATTCAATGTTGATCATTATGAAGTATTTGCAAAGTCTCCAGCATTTGAGAAAGGCTCCTTTTGAAACTGTGTTCAGGCATAGCTGGGGGCCTTTGTTTTTCTTGCTTAAAACTTTTAGGAATGTATTTTCCACATCATAAATTAGGTTGGTGTTCATATTTTGTACTTCCTCAATCCCAGAATGGTGCTGAGAGTGTTTTTAGCTTTTTTTTTTCTTTGTCCTGATGTTGAAGAGCTATATTTTAACTTTTTTTTTTTTTCAAAGAGAAAAAAGTGAGAAAACAATGAATGTGTTTAGCCTTTTCCTATTTATTTTTAAAGCAAAGAAGTTTTAGTTTCTTACTTCTATTCTATAAAAATCCGTTAGTCAGATTTTCTGAGGCTAAAACAGAGAGGTAGGCACAGAATATTTTTCCTATCCCTGATGTTATTTGACTCTGATAGAATGAAAGTGGTGTTCTTAATTTCTCACTGTGCTGATTCATTTCTCCTGACCTTTAGTGCTAATACATGTTCTTTATGCTTAGTAAGTAAGTATGAAAGCAAGTCAGGTGTCCATTGATGATGCCTGATGTCATTTTAGGTGTCCTAGAATATGCTTCTAGATGTCATTTTAGGAAGGCATAGGCTTCCCATAGGTCCCATCACATCTTTTTGCAGCCCTTTGTGCATGTCTGTGGTACCTTACGACACTAAGGTATTTAAATTGCTCCATAGACTTTGGTAAGTGACTGAATGTTTTACTTTTATGCTAAACCTGATCTCCACCAGTCAAATGTGCATTTTGAAGTTGTTGCTGTAGGTCTTGGGGACAGTGAAAATCCTGAAATAGCAGTAACAAGTAGAGCTTTTCTTGTACTTGCCAGTGAGTAGCAAATGATAAAATCAGCTACTCCAGTCATATTAGTCACATAAACACCATGAACTTTTAATTGCAGTAATGACATTAATTAGTTATCATTTGAGCTTAAACAACAAAGTATTTTGAGGTATTTTTCTCCCAAAACCTCCTGTAGCTTTTAATAAATCTACCTATAAATTAATGTCACTTATTTTCTGTGATTAAATTATCTCCTTCTTCAGAAACAGAAAAATGGTGTTTATTTATTTATTTATTTACCTTTTGGAGCAGCTTGCAAGCCTTTGTGATTTAATGCTTTCCCACTGCATTTTTCTTAAATTCATGAAACCTTAAAGATTATAGAGTCAGTAGGTAGTACTAGAAGCTCCCTTCTGAGTGTAGCTCTCTAATGACTTATAGAGAGCATGAGGGAGGAGAGCAGACTTGTTTGATATAATTTAATTTATCTGTGAGGGGAATCCTGGATTTTAAGTTTCGTGTCAGTTGAAGAAAGGGAGACAAAAAATATGAAAAAATAAATAAGGGAACAACAATCTTCTTCCATATTTATATATTTAGGCAAAAGTTGCCCGTGCAGCAGGCAGTAAAGAGTAGTTAACATTAAGATTCTTTTTCATGTCTGGTCTTTGTGTTTTTGGGATTATTTCTACAGCTATAACAGTTTTTCATAACAAACTATTTTAAAGATGCTCTGGGAATAACCTTTTATTTCTATACCCATTTTCTTAGAAAGGAAGATGTTTAATTGAGAAAATAATTTATACAAGCATTCATTAGACATGGTTTGCAGACGGTATTATTATTAGACCAAAATGATTGGTCTAAAAAGTCACTATTAGTTGTTATCTAAAGAATAATCCTCAGAAGTTAGTTTTTATGGCCACTTTATTTTTTTTTTAATTTTGTATAACCAAGGTCCATAGAGTTACATATGCTTTGCATTAACTTTGTGAATTGGGTCCTGCCTTTCTCTTTGTACCGTTCATCACTTCAAGGTTTTAACCTGGATGTTTTCCCAGACACCATATGGCTTTCAGGCTTTCTATTGTTGTTGGGAATTTATGTTCCAGGGCTTCATAAGCTATGACTTTATGTGGAAGAAAAGAGCCACCAGATTTCCCAGCTTCTGTAGCTGGGATCAGTCTTTCTCTGACCCTTAGGCTCTGCTGATTCAGAACACTCTTGTGTCAACATGGTATATAGTAGGAATGATACCATGGTAGAATAAAACCAAGTTGTCCTGAACCTTGATTTTATTGTGATAACAATTAACTCCTGCAATGTTTGCTTTTGTCTGTCTTTATCCTTGTATGTATACTTTTTCATAAATTCTTAAGACAATTTGTATTGACATTTATAAATAAGTAACTTAATTAAAAGTAAAAAGACATTGTAACATCATGATGCTGTGGGACACCATTCTGGAATGAAACCTTTTAAGGCTGCTCAAGAATAAGAACCTGGAATGACTGGAAACTTGACATAATCACTTTGAAAAAATGCCAATTTTTCACTTTACTTAGAATACTGACCACAGGAGGTACCATTGAAAGAGGATACAGTGGCATAGTTTTGGTCAAAGACTGAAAACTTTATGCTGAAAAGTGATAACTCACTGTTTTACTGATAATCATAAGATTTTCTGTTAATTAATATAGTCTAGATTTTGACGAAATATAAGGTATTTGCAAGTAAGCTTTATATATGCACCCTGCTGTGGAAGTATGACATCCCAGTATCACTCGTTGATTTTAGTCCATGCTATTGGTAAAGAGACACTGTGGGAATTTCCTCAATGGTTTCTTCTGTCTAATTTAAACAAAAATTCTGGCAAATTAAATTTAAAAGAAATGTTCGTTGAGTTATAAAATCTTTTAAAACCCCATTTACATTTCTTCTGCAAAAGAAAGCTCTGGGCCATGCTGGTATCGTATGGTATTTAAAACTCTAGAAAAATTAAGTCAATTTCTCAATTCATAGCATTATGAATATTGAATATTTATTAATACCATATTACTTGCTATGTGAATTATTATATTGTATAATGAATATATGTTTCATGTAAACATTGATGGTAATTCACAAAAACGTGTGCATTTCTTTGACAATACTTAATTAATTTTTTTGCCTGACTTACTTCTAGCACTTACGAAAAAAATGCTTCCTTTTGATCCAAGTGCCACCAAGGAAGATTCCATTAATGTTGCTCTCAGTGAAATGAAGCTGCAAGCAGAAAGAGGGAAGCAGTAGAACATTCTACATAAACACACCAGCCTTCTCTGTGGTAAATTCCATTCCACTCTTTTTTTGTTTTGAACAGTGGTAATTCCATCTGCTATAGGAATGACTCATCTGTTTCCAAATACTTAAATGAAAGAGCACCAAGAATGAGTATAATGAACTATTGTGATAATGTATGTAACTTTTTGCACCAAAGGTTTTCTGAGTTTATGCTATTCTCTTGTATTTGTTTCTGCAGTTCTCCTAAACTAAATTTATTGTATTCCTGAAATATTATGAAATGAAAGACCTATGACATTGATCTTTGCTATTACCCCTGTACAGGAATGTTTTTATAACATTTTTATAACATTTTTATAACATTTAACAGCATTATTGATAATGAAAAAATATTCAGAAATTACCTTGTCCAAGTATTTATTATGAGAGTGATTATACAGTGTTGTGCAGTTTGCAGCAATCATCAAAGAAAGAAGTGATAAATATAGTGGAACAGTGGAAATATGGTGGAAATATGTATCATGATTTCAAGTTCAGCATAGTTGTTTAGAATTATTCTTCTGACCAGAACAGTTTTACCAGGTGACCTCTGGCAAGGCACTTAATAGCACCTGAATCTTGCCCATCTGTATTAAGCATTTTGAAGGGCTACGTGACTGTGAAAAATGTAATAGCAGGGTTTAATGATCATGTAGTTAAGTGTGCTTTGTTCTCTATTAGAATAGATGTGTCATATTTATTTTAAAATGTTATGGAAATACAATTTTGCACAGTTCTATTTGTTCTGATATCTCTTTTCTAAACATACTGGATACAATTCTGTATTACTGTGTTCTGAAACAGCACATCACATCAGAATTTTCTGTTAGAAGAACTGGAAGTGTTTCTGATGGTCCTGGTTTTATTATCCTCTCCAGATTTTCTTGTTGCATCACTACTAATGTGCCTTAAAAAAATTGCCAAATCTATTAGAATACTGTGGCAACATGAACCCCATTGAAGCCATTTTGTTTTGTTAGCTTCTCTCATATTTAGGAAGCCTACTTCTGGTCTGAAACACTGTCTATTTTTAGCACTGTAGGTGTCTCAGATATAATTTACAGGTCACACTGTGCCACATGAAAACAGGCAAATTCAAACAGAATTTCTTGCTGAGAACACAAAAAATAGACAAGGAAATGAAGAAAAAAAATAATTCCTTTTATTTTCTATACATTTATTCATTTTATAATTACATTATTAGTTTATTTTTTTTTTACTCTAATTTGGTTTAAAAAGTATTCTCTACATTGTACATGTGTAATGCTATGCATTGTAGTGCTGACATTGGCTTTTTGCAGACTTCTGGCACATCTGCTCATTCATTCAGAAGGACAAAAAAGCAAAACAGGCTCATCCATCTCTTCTGATCTCAACAGCAGTGACAGGGCCAAGGCAAAAACATAAACATAAACTTCTACTCTGGAGGAGATAGGACAAGTAGAAATCTGTTTGTGTAGTAGTCTGCAGAGTGTGGATATCATGAGGCAGTGTTCAGCTGAAGCCACAGTTACCATGGACTAAACTTACTTTAAGTGTATCCAACATCTGTAATTATTTTTTTTTAATTAGATTAAAGCACAGCTCTGAAATACAGAGTTTAAAATATTTTAGCTGGTTTGTCTGGTGAAACATTAAATAATTACAAAACAAAATGTCACCAGCTTGCACACTTTAGGGTTCCTAGAAATTATGGCTGAAAGTACAGAGAAGTAATTTTTTAATATATTATAAAACAGTAAATCATACTTTCCAAACACCTTACGTTGTAATGAGGTCTGATGCACAGATGGCTGATGTACAAATGTATGCCCAACTCACTTTACTGTTGATAAATAAATGGGGCTTTTAAGAGTCTGAGAAGAGAAATAATTAATGTCACAGAAAAACAAGTTTCTCTCTTTTTCCAAAGGAATTGTAAAAATCTGGATATTGATTGCTTCTACTATTTTATGCATTTATACATTTTCTCCTCATTTGTAACTCAGAAATCTGAAGTATGTTTCTTTAAAATAGTATCACTACTGCTTTATAGTGTTAAAAAACTAAGTATAAGCAGTCTGAACTCTCACTATTACATCAAGTCTTGAATTATTTTTGCACAGTGTAGCAATGTAGGAGAGAAATTAATAATTTTGATTTTAAGACTTTACGCTCAGTGCTTAGTATATTTGCCTTTGACCATGTGACTGGGTTTTCAGCATTTTGTATCCTTTTTAAAAATTTTCTAAAAAGGCTGGGGGAGCAGAAGGGAAAGTCGAACCACCACCACCACAACAACAAAGGGATTTTTTTAATGAGTAGGCTTATGGACTCCAAATCCAGGAAATTATTTTTTAAATTTACCCTCTTGGCATGGCAGTCCAAATAGCATGTAATATTTGTCTCTCTTCCACCGTTGATAGAGTTTCATATTACAAAGTGAATTTTATTTCCTTTTTACAGAAAGCTAAAGTTCCATTCATGACATAATGTGAAACTGTCCCTTTGTGCTTTAAGAAATAATATTTTTTCCATATTGATCTGAAATAATATTCTGACCAGTTTCAGTTTTTAAAATAGAAAAACAGATAATTTTTTTAATGAAACGTTTTGTCTATTTCAGATCTTTAAAATTGCTGTCACTTATGGCAATCAATTTCTTTTTACACTTTAACCACCGAATGACTCTTTGATTCTTGCTCAAAGCAGTAGTCTTCAATAATCAAAAAATGTGGTATCACACCAAAAACGGTGGTTTGTTCTTTGTCCTGTTTAGCATTTGGTAAATCAAGCAACTTTGTATGTATGTACTAAGTACATGCAGACTTAACAAGTTAATCTGAGGCATCCTTTTTTTTTAATGCTGTTCTGAGATACAGTGGTTCAATATTATGTTTCCAGAAATGCACTGTACCTTTAGTTCAGCATCGAATAATTGTCACTTGAATAACCTTTACATTTTATGACTTTCAGTTTCTTCATTTTTTTATAGCAGACTTAAGAGTACTTACTTTTAATTCTTTTGAGATGGTAATTGCTAAATATTCAAAATAATTTATTTTTACTATGTAATTATTTTTACTATGTAATTTACTATGTAATTACTATTTAAGAAGAAACATCAAAATAAAAATAAAACTTAGTCCAGGATAACAAGTAAAATTTTACCACATAACACAATGCAATTTTCTTACATTTACTTCTCAAGTTTTTGATGAAAGCCAGTCTTCGGTGATGGTCTTAGATATTGAACCTCAGCCATATTTTTACCACAGTAAATAAAGAAGATAGATTAAAATTCCTTAGAACAAAGAAAATAATGCCTTACAAGACATAGAGTTTTTGTACAGTGTCACACTGAATGGATTTTTCATGAATGAAAACGCCAGTGAACAAGGAGGTATTTTTTTTAACACTGACCTAATTTTTATGGCTAAAAATGAGTACTGTGAAACCTGAATACATTCTCCTATCTACAACAAGCAGAAGAATGTAAGAATAAATTTATGTGGAACTGCTTGTCACAGTCAAGTTTTACCATGGCTCTGTTAAACCCAAAGTGTGTTAGTAATACATTTGTCTCTAAGCCCTGTCTTCACCTAACAGAAGTAATTGATGCTGAAGTTAATGTGAGATGCAGGCCCATATCTAGGGGTGCAGCACATCTAGAGGAAAACTAGTAGTAGAAGCAATGGAAAGCAGGTAAAGATTAAATTAAAATTTCAGAACACTTTTATTCTTGGTGCCTTAATTTAAAAACTACTTTCGAACTAGGATTTATGTCTAAATAAAATGGATCCCTAAATAAGATTCCATCTTGGATCAATTATTTTTTTACATACTACAGTACTTTCTGCTCTAGCATAATTCAGCTCTTTACTGTAAGCATATCTAGGCTGTTGTGAGTATGAACAGTTTGGCTTTTCTATGTAAAGAACTAAATTAGATTTTAAATCTAAAGAGCATTTTAGTTTTGTATACAGAAATACAGCAATCAGATAATCTCAGTCTTTCAAAAATCTGTAAACTAATGCCTCTGGGAATGTTGACTACAAAAATGAAAGAGATTATTGTGGTTAAAATACAGCAGCATCCAGCATTTATCATTTACACTACCAACAATAGCTCTCATGTTTCTAAAGCTAAAGTTGCACAGCTGCCATTTCTCAGGCTGTAAGAATGAGATTTTATTTTCTCTTGCCACAATAGTGGCAAAATCTGTAATGCGACCCTTGAGAAAATGCACACTGTATTTTTAGAATTGCTAGTAATTTTATTTAGGTACCTACTTGGTGCTATTTGGAATGAAGTATTTTTTTAATCCAAATATTAACATGTTTTTAAATACAAGAATTCCATAAAGACAGCTCTTTTAGGATAATTCTACTGTCTTTATTTGGGGATATGGCTCCTTAATAGGTGTTTTGCTTTAATGAGTACAGCAATTGGTCTTGAGTTGTCTGTTATTTTCATCTGTCTTCAGACCAGAATTGTTTTGATCTTAGACTGCTTTCCTCATCTACAGTACACTAGTACATCAGAAGACATACCATAATTTTGTCCACATTAAAAATTAGTCAAATTTATTTTGAATACAGTTGTTTCTTATAGCATAATCTCTTTTCATATTAATTCTGCTACTCTGCTTACTAAAATAAAACATATTTGGTAGTCTGACTTAACATGCGGCTTCATTTTGAAGATTATCTCATAGGCAAAAATAAATGTGTCTTACTACATTTGCCTAGATTTCCTAAATGCTACCATTCATTCTACTATCAGTTCATAGAGGAAAACAGTAAAGGATAGACTTCACTGCAATAACCCTGAAATATTATTATTGCAGGCAGAAAAAGAGGCTACAACTAATTTGGGAGATATGCCTACTTGCTTAGTTTAGGACATAAAACCCCCTCATATTACAAAGTATATTTCTTCAGTGTCTCAATATCAAATTGCCCTCCGTAGAAACAGTTGCAGCCATCTAA